GTTCGGGTCAGGGTTCGGGTCAGGGTTCCAGCTCAGGGTTCGGGTCAGGGTTCCAGCTCAGGGTTCCAGCTCAGGGTTCCAGCTCAAGGTTCGGGTCAGGGTTCGGGTCAGGGTTCCAGCTCAGGGTTCGGGTCAGGGTTCCAGCTCAGGGTTCGGGTCAGGGTTCGGGTCAGGGTTCCAGCTCAGCATGCTGCTGCTTGTTCTGTGTTGCGGGTTCTTGCAGTGTTTCTGTGTTGCTCAGGTGAGACACTGAATGTTTGTCCACCTGTGAGCCAGGTGACTCTGATCAGCATCATGGGATCCAGTGGGAGTAAAACAGCAGCAGCAGCAGCAGCAATAAAACCAGAACCAGCCGTCAAAAAGAGTCACTTCAGTCACCTGATCGATCCGCGTTCTCCCTCAGCCGGCATCGATCGGACTCCCATCCAGGTATGTCACCTGGTTCCTCCTGAGCCCACGATGCTGTGAAGAACGTTCACTAACAGACGTCGTGTGTTTGCTTCTCAGGCTGCCGATTTGATCTCCAGAACCTCTGCGGCGGTGAAGAGTGACAATCCTTCAGTCTTCAACGATCCACGTTCACCGACCATCGGCATCAGCCGCACACCTGTCAGAGACGTCATGACAGGTAAACGCCTGGAGACCTTTTAAGTCAAACGCTGTGTTCTGTGAGCGAGTCCCTTTGAGCTAACATGGTTCTTCTGTGCAGCCACCGTCGGCTCCTTCGCTCGCCGCCTCGGCATGTTGTTCCACAGCGAGGCTCTGACGGATCAGCACGCCTTCAGGGTCGAAGAGCTGCCGTCCACTGAGCCCCTCCTCACCCCTCGGCCGACGCACCTTGACACACCTGTGCTGCAGGACCTGGACAACTCGAGCCCTTTCGTGATCCTCGAGGAGCCTCAGGCGGAGGTGGAGGTAGAAACTGAAGCAGACTTCAACCTGGAGGAGGCCACAGAGTCTCCTCTACACAAGAGGCTGAGCCTGAGCCTGATCACCTGCCATGAAGGAACCACGTCCTCCACCGTCCTCGCCGAGGTCCACCATGAAGGTTCTTCACATTCAGAACCAACTGCGGAGGTGGACCCTCTCCAGGACGCTGTGGAACATTCTTATGCTCTTCCACCTCTCGGTGTAGAACCAGAGTCTCCTGCTGAGTCTTCTGGTCCCTCTGCAGTAGAATGTTCTCCTGCACCGCTGGAGAAACCAGAACTCATTAAAGAAGCCGAGCCTCTGTGTTCGTCAGCTGTTCTCAGCACCGGCATCCGCTGCCCCACCTTCGACCCCCAGAGCCCCAGTCAGGTGGTGTTCAAGCCCCAGTGGCTGGGAAAAGGCTTTGGGGCTCTGGAGCGCAGAACCAGAGCAGTGCATGCTGGGAAGGGAGGCTCCTCCCCCCTTGCTGTCCAAGTGGCTGTGAAGAACGTGACCAACGAGAACAAGGGGCATTCTGGGAAACCGAGGCAGAAAGGTGTGTGAGTGGAAGGGTTTGTATTTGTTTTGGTTCATTACAAGATGCTGTGGCTTCATGTTCTCCTAATTAAATGAATCTTCTTCCTTCCTGGTTTTACAGGAAGTGAGGGCCGCTCCCCGCTGCAGATCCTGAAAGAGACCAACTCGCCTCGAGATCAGCGCTCTCAGGTCCAGGTGGGCCAGACTGACCAGTAGTTCACCTCCTGCTGAGTCATTAGAGCTCCAGCGGTTAAACAGAAGCTAAATCAGACCTCCAGGTGACGTTTTGTCTTCTTCTCCTCCAGATGAAGCTGAAGGTGTCGACTCCAGACAGACGGAGGTCGGGTCAGACGGACCGCCGAGTTCTGGTGTCTCTGGACAAGGAGAACCGATGAGGCGCTGCATCTCGTCTTCACTCCGTCCTTTTATATCCTCGACATACTTTTATTTGTCCCGTTTTCACAAATTGATTTTTGTCTTGTAAATATTGAACTTCTGCAAATTCATCTTGTTCTTGTCATCGTGTAAATATAAATAAAGTTATCTGCATGCTCGTGTCAGCTTTTAGCCGTCTGGTCAAAAACGACTTTGTTTTTATTCTGTTAACCTTTTTTTTTTTTTTTTTACCTGAATTGTAAATGTTTCTTGTCTTTATTTCTCCACAAACAGAATTAAAACAAACAAACTTGGAACTCAATATTTCTTGTTTTCTGGATGAATCTATCAGCTGTTGGTTCAGTTTCCTCCTCAGATGTGGGAATAAACAGTATAAAAAATTAATAATGTTGATTATTTTGACAGATATTAGGACATGAGTTATACTTTTTAAAATTTGTGGTAATTTGTTCTTTTGTTTTCCCCTCAAACAAACATGAACAGGATGTGATTTCTGCTGCACTTTGAACCAAACAGATGAATGTTCTTACATCTGGAGACTCTGATGTCTGTTGGGCGTCTGAGGAGCCAACAGTGATCCTGTCAGAATATCATGTGATCATTTTACCTTCAGAAGACGTCAGAGCGCTGCAAGGTGGNAAAAAAGTCATACTATAGCATGTCGTTTTTGTCAAAAAAGGTCACATTCCAGATCGGAGCAAGTGTGGCCTAGTTACGAGCCACTTCCAGTTTAGTGGCGAGCCGCGGCAGTGTGCGTATTGGCCCGGGTGGAAACGCGCTCTGGCTGAGACTCGGAGCACGCGTGTAAAATTTCAGGCCGATTGGAGCACAGACACAGCACGTCTGGTATTCTGGTGTTTTATGGCGTTGTGGCCAAATTCAGGGGGGCGCCATTTCCACGCCGTTTTACTAACGTGTAATCACCACCACCTGTAGTTTGTGCTGGCCAAATTACAGGTGTGTACGACCTTCCCTGTAGGAGGAGATAGATTGTTAAAATGGTCAAAAATGCGCAAAAGTCAGCCAAATGCGGCAAAATTGTCACAAGGGTTTTTCAAAATGACATACTTCCTGTTGGGGTTAGGGCTTGGTGCTGATTGACTTTTTTGTGCGTCCTGACCTGCTACACATGCCCAGCGAATTTTGTAGCTGTACGTGAAACAACCTTCCGACAACAGTCAGTTGAATGCAAAAAACACTGCGAAAATGGACAAAATGGCCATTGATCAAAATTGGACGGGCCACGATTTCCAAACCGGGCTTCATCTGCGGAGCGTTTGAAGAACTTTTAGTCACCACGTCCTGTAGTTTGTGCTCACCAAATGTCAGGTGTGTACGACGAACCCTCTCGGAGGAGTTCGATTTAGAAAATGGCCAAAAATGGCCATTTTTCAGCAAAAATGGCCCGGCATGGTCGCGGTTTCCTGTTGGGTTTACAGAAACATGCTAATGGACTTTTTTGTGCGTCAGAAGTTGTTACATATATGTAGCAAATGTAGTAGTTGTAAATCAAACATAGCCCCAATGGGAATCTGTTGAAATATTGTAGGGGGCGCCGTTGAGCCGTGTTGCATTTTACAACTTGGCCCAGCCTGACTTTTTTATTCTGCTCTATATGCCTACAAAATTGCGTAGCTCTAGGCCAAATGTGCTTTTGACAATTTAGAAGGTGGCGCTGTGGAGCAATTTTTCTATTGAGGTGTGTATTGTTCTTCCAAATTATACAATTTTTCACCGGGTCTGATGTACATGGCAATTTTGGTGAGTTTTCGAGTATGTTTAGGGGCTCAAAAACGTGTGTCTTTGGCACGAATAATAATAATAATCCGAGCAGTTCCAATAGGGTCTTCGCACCCTTTTGGGTGCTCGGACCCTAACTACTCTGTGCTGCACAATGGCAAGTTGTATATAGTATTGGAATAGTTTAGTCATACAAAGCAGAAACTAATTCTGAAGAAAAATGATGGCACAGAAAGCTCCACCCTGACGGTCGCCCTGCCCTGTAAGTTGCCAGGATTTGTTCCTTACGTTTGTTATGTAGGAAACAACAGCTGTCTAAATCTTCTGAGACTGTCATCAGCACAATGTAGTTTCAAAATGGAAATGTTCAACTAGTGTCTGCCCATTTAACTCATGATGTGTCTACCAACATTTAAAAGAACACCGTATGGACATGACAACAAGGTGTGAGCTCCTCTTTGCCACAGAGGGTCTTTAAAAGCTATTTAAAAAGCTAGCCTGGGTGGGCATCAGGACTTTGATTCTCTGGTAAGCATGTGTCACCTCAGCTTTGTTTCTGAAGTGAGAAAATCATTTCTCACCGTATGAGTTATGCTTTAGTTTCTTCTTGTATGAAAGAGGCGGATGAAAACAAAAGCAAACTGGAGTTGTACCTGTATCAACACTAACCATGAATTCTCTTCCGAGAATTTCTGCCTGTGCTGCTGCGAATGATGCATAACCTGAGGGTGCATAAAGTAGGTGCTGAAAATGATTTTAAGACTTACATCATTTTCCATGACTAAGGAACGGTGAGTAAGCCTGTAATGATGTGTTGGGACTTGGACTTGTAAGGGCTACACTGGTGTGATAGTAAGCTAATGATGACCCACACTATGGTTACATTCCTGGAATGATGTTAGTGAGTCAAAATGGCTCTTAAGAGGAACACCGTGTTTGGAACGTAGATAATTATCGGGTCTTATTGCTTAATCCTGCCACTGGATTATGTTTCTCATGACATGTCAGTGTACTACACAGTAAATATGTCTATAGTATCAGGTTGAAACCCCACCGCTCTGTCTTGTGTTTTTGCACCTGCAGGCTTGTAGACTGTTTCAACACACCAACAAAGCCACTGTGGGGGAATATTTACCTGTTTTAAACCCTATTTGTGGATGAACTTTTACCCACAACAGGCCATGCTGATCTCTTATTACTTGTTTAGATCAAAATGACCTAAGCTAAAGGTTTTTTTGGTACTTATCAGACTTAATGTCTCTAATGTTCGAATTCCTCAGATTAGGTCCATCTGCATCTCCTGCATGTCGCAACCTTCTTTCTGCTCAGTCACAGACGCACAAACAATCCCTTTGATGCACTTGACGCCAACAAAATTGTAAGAAAAATAGGTTCGAAATTCAAGTAGAAGATTTCCCCCTCCATCTCCTCTACATCCAAAACAAGGAAGTCATAAAAAGTTGGATTAAAAACAGCCAGACCAAATGGCACCACATTGTTGTTTACTGTACCTGGCCTGATGGTTATTTTCCAACCAAACAACAAAGCGACAAAAAAGTGAGCCAACTGTGCAAACACAATGGCAGCGACTAACACTAAAAATAGAAATGTGGCAATATCATGTACTGTGCAGGTACCGGTGCATGGAAGTGGATGACACACACTGAGTTTGATTTTGTTCAAACCCACCCATGAGGTTTCTTCTAACTCCTTCAGGTTCCAGATGAGGTGCGCTGCTTTATTTCTCAGGGTGGGACAGAGATCGCTTTAGTACACTTAAATGCTTGTAAAAACATCTCGTCCATGGTGATTGCATTGTTGAATGAAGGTAGAGTCACGTCATACTTCAGTGAGCTCCACACAAACCCAATGGTTAATAGGATAGTGGGACAGTAAAGCAGCGTACATGCTATATTACTGTGCCACCCCCTTCCTATTGAATGATCCATTCTATACTCTAACGCTGATCTTTAACCTTATGTGTTGCACGTTCTTCTGGTTGCGCTGCGGTGGAGAAACGAAAGTAAACGAATGTTGACATCGATTAGCAACGAGTAAACATACGAAAACAAAGGTGTGTCGCAAAGTCCTGTGGAAAGTGTTAAATTCAGCGCACACATGTGAACAGCGAGAAGGACTGGTAGGACTTACACAACACAAAGGAAAGCTGTCAGTGCCACCATCAGCAGGCCGGTAATTACCAAACACTTATTTCAGTTGTTCTGGAGGAGGAGGCCTGGCTCGAGTATCACTGAAAAGACCTCAATCAAAGAGATTACGCTTAAGTGGAGGCTCTCAGGGAGGCTCTCAGGGAGGCAGGTTTTAGCATTTGGAAATGAAATGAGGCTGCATTATGATGTCAGCCCAGCAGAGTAATAACAGAAGCCAACAAATATTTTTTTTTCCCATGAAAGCAAGTAACAGCACATAGCAGGTCCTCGGGGCGTCAGTTTGCAGCCAAACTACTAGAACATACAAAATAAAGCAAAATGACTCATATTTTGGGGAATAATGATTAATGGTGTAACAGATATCATGTCCCACTGGGTGCAGGCTCAGAAGTCCAAGGAGCTGGAAAGTCTATGAAAGAACCGAGACACCCAAAAGAAATACAAAATGAGTCCAAACAGAATGACAACAAAGAGATGCAAACCAACCACAAAGAGGTGGAGCACAGCTGCAAAAACAGACACAGGTACCGCAAAGAGACACGGAAGGACTTCAGAAGTTGCAAAACAACTGGAACAAGATCCAAAGTAACCGCAAGTCAAAATGAACACAAACATACACAAAACAACTGCAACAATATTCAAAACATCTGTGAAGAAAATGCATAGAAACAAATGCAAAACAAGCAAGAAGAGCTGCAAAAAGAGGAAAGTACCACAAAGAGACACAAAAGGACCTCAAAAGTTGTATTACAACTACTAAGACATGTAAAGTGAACCACAATCACACGAAAAATCACCATAAAAACACCTACAAAGATACCCAAAGCACCCAAAAAGCAATGAGATGCAAAATCTTCTTAGAGTACAGACCAAAGGACCTCTAATCTCCCTTTTCCACCAAACTGGTTCCAGTGCTACTTCCGTGCTAGTACCTGACTTAGCACCAGTTCTTTGTGTTTCCACCACCTAAGCACCGGCTCCAGGCTCTCAAAACTGGTGCTTAGCAAGCACCAACTCTTTGCTGGGCCAGAGTTAAGCACTGAGTACGTCAGGGGCTGGGGGCGAGGTTATCGTGACCCCTGAGACCAATGAATGGGACACACAAGCGGTGATTTCTGTCGTTTCCGCCAGGACATCCCTGGTCTGATCACAAATATATTGGAATGAGTCCAGGGACACACGCAAGTTTTGCACAAACTGTTGGGCGCTGAAATCTGGTAGAACTGTGTCCCACCAGCAGCACCACAGTAGTGGAAAATG